CAATCTCCATGGCCTCAGAGACTTCAAGCTGCCATAAGAGACCTTCTCGCACAATATAAGGTTTAGTAAGACTTAAATCAGAAATTGAGGATTGAGTTCCAGTAAGGCTACTTTCCAGCTATTCTCTATAAATCTTCATTTTCTCATTATAAATTGTGGATAAGTGTCTGCCTAAAAGGGTTGCCCTTGGGACAGTATGTTCCCTGGTTTGAAGGTAAAAACTGAATATATAACACTGTGAATGGAACATTTTGTATGCTCAGTAAGCATCTGTCAAAGATCCCACTGAAGAATTCATGATGTGCTGAAATTCGCCTTTTGGAAGAAAATAACCAGTCATCTAAGCAAATTCCCGTTTGGCAATTGAGGTCTCATAAATTAGGACGTTTAATATTCACAAAACTGGGCAGGTATTGAGGATGAAGGAGCTCCCTCTGCATAAAAGATGAAGGATCGGCTTCCTACTTATCCTGCTTGTCACAATTTCTGACTCTTTTTGGCATCTGGAACCAAAGGTTTTCTAAAACGCCAAGACCTTTTTGCTTTCACTGCAAACTCTCCAGAGCCCCAGCTGTTTAGATCATGGGGAAGAAAAATGAGGACAGGGCACGCTCCTGCTTGGTAATGCAGGTCCTTCATCAATCCTCTTTGGTGATGCCTCATAGCATAGAAGAAACTGGAGCAGCTGGAAATAAATCGGGGAAATTAGTAATTGTGTGTGTATGTCTGTGTGTGTGTGTGTGTCTGTGTGTTACATACCACTTATTTCATCTAAAATTTTATTTCAAACGATTGGATTAGGAAAAGTAATATGTGATAAAGGAGAACTCTGGACAGGAGATTCCTCTACCTTTAAAAGAGCTCCTGAACTCCTGGGAATCATGAGGGTTCTGAATCATGTTTATTTCTCACTGAGAAGGTTTTTTCTCCTTATACATAATTTATTTTTCAAGCCTCTTATATTCTCCATAAGGATATTGACTTTTATTTACCCATGTGTGTTAAAAATCCAAATTATTGGGCTTCCCTGGTGGCGCAGTGGTTGAGAGTCCGCCGGCCGATGCAGGGGACATGGGTTCGTGTCCCGGTGCAGGAAGATCCCACATGCCACGGAGCGGCTGGGCCCGTGAGCCATGGCCGCTGAGCCTGCGCGTCCGGAGCCTGTGCTCCGCAGCGGGAGAGGCCACAACAGTGAGAGGCCTGCGTACAGCAAAAAAAAAGAATCCAAATTATTCTCTAACTTGGTAAACTAGAAAACTTAAACTGGCATTTTTTAGGTAAAACAAATATATTAACCACCTCTAAAACAAGGAGCTGTTAAAGGGAACCTGTCCATGGTATGATGCATTTTTCTTCCTTTTTGCCAAAAGTCACCATTTATCTATAGAAGAAATGTAATTGTATTTTTATTTAATATAAGTAAAAACATTTTGAAAATCAGAATTTTAAGAATGAAGATACACTTGAAAGCATTTTCCAAGGAGGTAAAGTAACTCAAAATAATCAGGTCTTGTGTTATCATCTCATAATAAAAAAAAAAAGCAAAATTACAAAAGTCATGAAAGCATTTGAAAATGGAAAAAAATAAACTGAATTTTGACCTGAAAAATTAACTATTTGATTATGAAAACAGTAATTATTGGATCTATCTGGAAGCTCCCTGGGAAAGCCCATATTTGCAGTGCTTGTCATTACTTGACGTGACTCTGAACTTGTTCATTGGGAAAACCCATCCCAAGGTATGTACTGAAAACAGTTAGCAGCAATTTCTGTAAGATTACAGCAAATTGCGCTGGTGATTCCGGCTGTAACAGGTGTGAGGTGCTGTCTCACGGTGGGCTTGGCTTTCATCTCTCTGATGATGACTGATGGTAATCATCTTTCCATGTACGTGCTGGCCATCTATCTACGTGTCTTCTCTGGAAAAATGTCTATTCATATCTTCTGCTCATTCTTTAATCAGATTGTTTGGTTTTTTGCTGTTGAGTTATATGAATTCTTTATACGTTTTGGATAGTAAGCCCTTATCAGATATATGGTTTGAAAATCCTCCTTTCAGATGCTCAACCAAAGATCTTGGAATCATCCTTGACTCAATTTTACTGTCAATCCCACACATTTTTTAACTGGAAACTTTACAACTTCCCTTCTTTCAATCTTATTCCCAGAGAGTTGATTATCAACAGTGTGGCCAGAATTATCATTTTGATACTCAATACCAATTCTTGTCACTCTGTGCTGAAAAGTCTCCAGTGGTTTTCCATGGCAGTCAGAGTAAAGCTCATAAAGGGCTCGTCTGCACTACAGTTTCTGGCCTGAGTTATATCTTTGACCTCATTTCCTATTAATTACTCCATAATTCACTCCATCCCAGCGCTGATGGTCCCTGGCTTTCCTCAAGCTCTCCTAGAATGTCTCTGTCTCAGGGCCTTTGAAATTGACTTCTGCCGGGAATGTTTCTCTCACAAACATCCAGGTGGTTTACTCCTTTGTCCCGTTAGGTTTCACCTCCAGAACAATATGGATTTCCCTGTCCTGCATGCCCTCCCACACTCTGCTCTCTTCCATGCCTTATTTTCTGGAGTATACTTATTATTATATTCAGAAATATTATATTTAACTTGTTTATGCCCTTATATGTTGTCTCCTGCCACAAGAATGTAACTCCCATTAGACCATTTTTTTCTGTCTGTTCTGCTCACTACTTTATCTTTTCACCAAGAAAAAGACTAGATGCATAGTAAGCACTCAATAAATATTCATTGAATGAATGAATGATTAACTTTTGAGGAGAATTATGTTTAGTGAGATTCCTGGGGCTCAGAAGAGCTCTATTACAAGGAGATGGTAAGTAGCTTGGTGGACTCACCTGTGGATGCGCTGTAGCTAGGTAAATTCTGTAGGTCAGAATTTACATTAGAAATGAGGGAAAGAGTGTTACTAGTGTATACAGAAATGCAAATCGAAGCCTTAGGAGTGGATGTGATGACCAAAGGTGACTACCGAGCCCGAGGGAAGATGAGTTGACTCTGGAATCAAGGACCAAACTTGAACACATCTCTGCCTCTTATTTTATCTTCTAATTACCTATCATTTCCTGCCTACCCACATCCAAAAAAAGGCGTAAAAATTTGAAAGTGCCCGAGTCCGCATCAAATAATTGACATATACTTGACAAGGTACGAATCACTGAAAATACTAATCATCCCCCAAATATCTATATATTTAGACTATTTGCTTTTTTGACAACCAAGATATAATCTCCAATCTAATAAAGTACGGCACAATTATTTTTGAGAAAAAGTTGTTATATTTTTGCCTAGTTGCAACGCTCAACAGTATTCTCCCCTTCACCAAGTGTAAATTGTATGTTTTTTATTGTTTTGTTTTTTAATAATATACAAGCATATCTCATGCTTTCCAGAACTTTCCCATCCTTTTTACAGCTGGTGGATTTTTAGGGGTTGACGCTGAACGTATTCAAAGTCTGCACCTGAAATAAACCGGCTACACAGAGAACGAAGGGGTGAATTTTGGGCTTGAATTAAGGCCAGAGGAAACCTGCTAGGTGACCAATAACACATCGCGGTGACATGAAGCAGATCGCTAAAAATACGGCTCCTGAAATCATAATGACTGAGTAAAATCATTTTGAGTTGGAATCATTTTAGGAATTTAAAATAGTTAAACCAGATCTTTACTGTTTTAACATTTGCCATAGGAAACTGACTAAGATATTCTGAAGTTTTGGAGGGAATCACTCTGACAGCATAGCTATTTCATCTACATTGTACCAAACTCTGAATCTATATTGTGGCCTATTGTCCTCCTATTACATATCTGAGAAAGTACTACTGAAGTGAACTATTTTATTTAAATAGTTCCTTGGTACATGACAGATATTACAATATGTCCTAGGTGAATGAATACATTATTTTCCATTGCCACATACCATGAATTGAAAGCACCATCAGCAATGTGCCTATTACTTGCAATTCTGCATCCTTTATTACTATGTATTGACATAGTGTCAGTTTCGTCAGCAATTCCATAGGGTTTCTTACGCTCTAGTTATCCTCTCTGTGACAAGTTTATCAAATAGACCTCATCAAGCACATATTTTTATTCTTCTTCTCTCAATCCTTTTGGAATTAGATCATTTTTATGGGACTATTGATGGTTTTTCATAAAAATACTTGTGACGTCAGCTTTCGAAATCTATCCTGAGCACCGACTCATGATTTTACAGCTAATCTGATATCATTTGTGGTTTGAAGTAACTTCTTTCTATTTTCATTTCAATATATATATCATTTGGTGCTACTGGTTGGTGCTACATTTCCTTAAGTACCCAAATGGGAAATATATTTCCAAAACTCCAAACAGTTAGTGGGCCCTGGCTAACATTTTTTTGACAACCAAGTATGTTAATCAGAATTAATTAAATTTAAAATGAATGCATTCATTATATTTTGGAAGTGAACCCTTTGGCTTCTAGTGCCTTAAACGTTCATATCCCCTTGCTCTCAGTATTTCATATTCATTGTCCTACGACAAACAGCAACTTATTCTAGATAGTAGTGAAGAATACTTAATTATTCCAATCCAAATTTTTCATTTGAATTGTGTGTAAAGAGATAAAAATACTTTTAAAGCTGTTTCTCTTTACTTACACTATGTCAAAAGTAGAATTTTAATCTGGCCAAATATATTTCTATGCAGCATTTATCAATATTGAAAAGACTCTCATGGGTGATAAGAATGTTTAGTTCTTCTGACTCTCGGGCCACTGTATTTTGAAGTCAATTGGCAATGCATTTGAAAGTAACATATTGAACAATAATGCCTACAGTGTCCATAAGTTAGATGTCATTGATTCTAGTTAAGTTTATTGCACTTGAAAGAAAAACTCTGGCTATTATCTAGTGGTGTAGTTATTCTCCATTTATTTTCAGGACGCTGGTTTCTATTTCACGTGACCACCTCTCTCTCCCTTTCAGGAACTGGAATTTTCGAACCTGTTTGCTGTTCTTCACTGCATTCACTCGTTCTTTGCCGCCAAGGTGGCTTGTTTGGACCCTCTCTTTTTAGGCAATCAGGCTACTGCCTCTGCTGCTCCCAGCTCCGGCATGATGAGCAAAGCCAAGTACATGACTTGACGGCCTGAGCTTGGCATCCCTCTTACCTTGACTTACAAAAACAATCATACTTGTCGCTGTAGACCCTGGAGAAGCAATCACATCATAGTCAACAGTGAAGCCAAGTTGAAATTTCAGCAGAAAAGCAGGTCATACGTATCTCAGAAGCACTTCTGTTTTGAAGGCCTCTGGGAATCATCCTGAACGAACAGGATAGCTTGCTCTCTATCGGTGGGTCGGTGCCAGTGTGTTGCTTTCATCAGAAGAGAAGACGAAAGAATGAATGACTCGAGTATGTAAATAATATAAAAAATTGTAAGCTACCTATAAATAAAAATACCCATTAAATGGTCATTTCGGCATTTTAGATTATTTGGTATGACAAATACATGATGGGCCTGGTCAGGAACGAATACCCCATCATTGCATCAGGAACAACAGAAAGGAGACAGTTGCACAGAGACCAGCAGGCAAAAACCCTCGTCAAAGAAGAAAGCACTTTAACTCCCTGGTGTGGACTTCTCCTTGTACCCTCCTCCCATGAGTTGACACTGGCACTCCAATGTTTGTTTATCTTATTGTAGAATATTGCTGAGAATTGCAAAAGGACCATTACATTTTACCTACGGTAGACACAATGGGAAACAGACTATTTCTTCCTTGGGTCACTGACACTGAGTGTTTTATTTGCAGCCAGTGTCATTCAAAGATGCCAAAATGTGTCACTTTAATGATGAATGAAGGGAACATCCATGAACCTCTTGTTCTTTCCTTCATTTAAGGAGATTTATATTTTACCTGGAGTTTATTATTAAATTAAAATTTCATGAATTTTCAGTGACCCCCAAAACCTTGTAGAGAAAATAATATCAACCCATGCGGTGTAAGAAACAATTCTGTGTAATCCTGACCCTACCTGTTAATGCTGAACCACAGTGTCCCTAGGAAGCATTCTCAAAGCTGTGACTTACGTTGGGTGAATGACATCTTTCCATTTTAGTTAGAGTTTATGAAAGAATAAGGTGAGATATGAAAATAAAATTTTAAATTTCTGACTTGTCATGAAAAGTGATTATGTAATGCCAAACTGTTTGAGTTATTTTAGGCGTCTTGTCTTAGGAATGCAAGTGTGAAGAGATTGGGAATTTGAAAGCCCTGAAGTTGTGTGCACACGACTCGGATCCCAGGTGTTACATAACTATTTGTATAACATTTTCTTTCCTTCAAAGCAGCTGTACTGAAATTTACTTTTAAACAACCACCTTCCCATTAAGAAAAAAATTGCTTTTTTTAATACACATGTTCCCAACTAAATCAAACATTGGATCCTTCCTTGTGAAAATGACCAATTATCTAATAAGGTGGATTGATTTTTTTTAATAAGAAAGAAAAAAGTCACTCAAGAAGGAAACATTATTTGTAAAAAGGACACATGAAAATTATAATTAAAAATAAACATCAAACTATTTCCATAATCATTATAAATTATTAATTCACTTTTCATCTGATTAACTCTTAAGTGCATTAAATTGAAAAGGAAAAGTGAAGGTTCACAGTTGTACCTGGCAAGTGTTAAGTTCTATCTAGGATGACTTTTGAAAAGAACTGGGGCAGGACTTCCCTGGTGCAATGGTTAATAATCCGCCTGCCAACATAGGGGACACAGGTTCGAGCCCTGGTCCAGGAAGATCCCACATGCTGTGGAGCAACTAAGCCCGTGAGCCAAAACTACTGAGCCTGCGAGCCACAACTACTGAGCCCACACACCACAACTGCTGAAGCCCATACGCCTAGAGCCCGTGCTCCGCAGCAAGAGAAGCCACCACAATGAGAAGCCCACGCACCGCAACAAAGAGTAGCCCCCGCTTGCCACAACTAGAGAAAGCCCTTGCGCAGCAAAGAAGACCCAACACAGCCAAAAAATAAAAAAAAATAAAAAGAACTGGGGCAAACTGGACAATATACAGTTTAATATAATTTATACTGAACATCAAACTAAATACATATCCATAATTGGGATAACACTATGGAATTATTGCTCACTGTGTTTTGATCAAACAGAGCAGTCCTTTTATTGGATTGGCCAAAAAGTTCGTTCGGGCTTGTCCGTAAGATCTTTTTGGCCAGCCCAGTAAAATCAGAAGCCCACCAAAAACAGGCTTCAGGAGGCCACCAGCTCAGGCGGTGGAGTGGAGGGAGGGGGCAGCTGCCTTAGGATCCGCAGCCGCAGTGGCCAGCTCATCACAGACCCTCTGTTACCAGCTCGAGTTTCGTGTCAGCCCGCCCCGCGCTAGGGTGACGTCTGTGTGTCCGTGGTGTGAGAATCAGTGGATTCACAGGCAATATGAAATGGGCTGCTTAGCCTAAAGAAAGAAAAAGGGTTTTAAAACTTTCTACAAGTGTAATGTAATCATTAAAAAAAATGTCAGGTTTTGTAAAACTCCATTTAAAAAATACAAAAAGGTGATTTAATTAAATATCCTTTTTGTGTATCATAAAAATCTTCTAGGCTGTACTTACGTGTATAATAAAGGAAAAGGTGCACAATGAGATATGTGTGGGTATATATCTCCTTGTACAACACACACACACACACACACACACACTCGTATATATATAATAAAATGCTAATCCCATATTATATAGAAGAATATATTTCAAATAAATATATTAATATACTTTAAATTTACACTGTAAATTGTAGCCTGAATTAAAATTTATGATAATACCATATTGTGTTTATTTTTGATACTCTTGAAAAAAAAGCCATGGGCCCAAATTGCTACTTAACATGATTAGTGCAGAAGCCACCTACTAAAAAATATTATTTTCATTTTCCTCAGTTAGCAAATAGTGTTGAATGTTTCCTTTCACAGTGCAATGAGTAGACACTGTCATTTGCTATAACTTGGACTACTTGAATAAGAAAGTTTAGAAATGAACAAAAATACTCAGATAAATCTCTATTTCTCATGTAATTTAGGTTTAGGTGCATGAGATTTATTCATCATATCCTGGTTCATATTAGGGCACATTTTAACAACAGAATGCTTAATTATGTGCTGACCTCTCCAGTGCCTTGGTATATGTGTGTATGTGTGTGTGTGTGTGTGTGCATACACATTATACATATATATACATATATGTATACATATGTATGTATATATATATACACACTAAGGGTTATATAATTATAGTGTACATAGTACAAGCTTGAAGGGAACATTACATTATACGTACTTGGGTCAGAGAAGGGAAATCTTTGCTAACTACTATAATCATGTATTTTGCCTGATAAAGAATAACAATTCATTTAAGCTGAAGTATATTAAAGCAGGGGCATTTTTAATTTGTTATATTGCCACAAGTATTTACTTCAAATACTTTAGTAGATAATGTAAGTATAATGTGTACCCCAACATGTACCATCCAACACTGTTTTTAAGGGAAAATAATCAGCGTATCATTTCTTGCCCATTTTTCAGGCTTGTACCAACTAAGCGTTTTAAAGCCTTTGATCACAAAGCTCATTCGGCAGAAGCAGCGTAATTCCCTGAAAATAAATGGCAATCCCATATTCATTAGGGCAACAGAGAGACTTTATTTTCGTATATTAGTTTAAAGTTAGAGATTTCCCTCATTTTCTGAAGCAAAGCTTGTCCTCAACTTTGTTTACATGGCATGCTGGATTTGAGAAATGCTTGATTTATTTCTGTGGAAAAATAATCATCCTAACAATGATTCAGAATTATCACTACAAAGCAGCAATGTGGGGAAGCTTTAAAAGCACAAGGACGATCTTGGGTTTAGCTTTTTAAGGTAAGTGTCGATTTCTGATAATATTAACACACATGTTGCTACCCTTAATACTGAAGTCCTGATGACTCTCCACAAGGAAATGCTTTATTCATTCCTCTAAAACTCTTGTTTATGATTTATTCTTGTTCCTGAATACTTTAAAATCATAATTCACTTCTTTGCACATTTGATGTTGCTTTTAAAGATAAATAAAATATTATAAATGTTATATATTTATACATATTAAAATGCAATGAAAATGCCAGAAATATGAAATGTATTTATTTCATTTTTAATTGTTTTGGTCGATGTTTGTAAAAACATTACCTGTGTTTTTAATTAATATCTGTGACAAAAGCTTGTCACTTTGTTCTTTAAGTTCATTAATGTACTACTAGTAAAACTGTACCTTTTTTAATAATGCATACTGGAAAATAAAAACATAATTTTTTTTACAACTGTGTTTTCACTTCTTGGGTTTGATTTGTAAGTTTTACAGATATTTAGAGCATGACCTTGGAAGACTTAGCTGCCATGAACAGGGCCAGTGGTGAGCAGCCTGCCTTGGGGTGCATACCTCTTAAGACATGATTTCTTCTGGTCCATCAATATTTATGAAGATTACCTACCTGACCCCTAAAAGGCCTTAAAGACTGAACAAAGATGATATTTGCCAAATTACTTAAGCAATCGGAGTTACAACATTTGAAAGCAAGACAACTTTGATAGCCTCACAATGGTCCATTATGAGCTGAATCTATACTGAGAGGACTGGTCTGACTGGGCATCATTTGCTGGTCGTTTGTACCTGTGAAGAAGCTCATCACTTTATGTCATAAAAGACCACAGTTGTCTTTCAGGTAATTACAGTGCCATAAGCATGAGTGATCACAGAAATAATTTTAAAACGACTCTGATATCTACATTATTCTAGTTGTTGAATGCACATCTTTACCTTCTCTCATTTTTTAGTTTCAGAAAAAAACACTGCTGAAAAATTAACACATGTTCATCATAAGTAATTAAAGCAATTAAAAAGAGTACAAAAAATTCAAATAGATATCATATTAAGTCTCATCACCACAAAAAAATAAGCACAATTCATTTTTGATGAACTTTATTCTATACATATATCTATGTTTACATAAAGGTAAAAAGAAATATAATTAGTCGATGTACAACTACATAGATTTAAATGCTTAAGTAAATATATTCCAGCAAAAAGTACAACATAAAATAAATAGATTACTATGTCTTGGAGGAATATATGAACAAGAATAGCAAAATGTGAATTCTTGAAAGTTACCTACATATTAGCAAAAAGTGAAATTATGAATATATTTTAAGGGGATCATGACCTCAAGAATATTCTCTTCAAAAAAAATTTTAAGATAAATTGAGGCAAATTTTGGACATTA